ATTTATTTATTTATTTATTTTTTATATACATATATATGTATTTATATATCTTTTTTATATTATATTTTATTTTATATTATTTTACTTTCTTTTATTATTTTAATGCCCACTTACTGCACTAAAAAGCCAAAGTTGAACATTTTAGTGTTGGCCGTTGGTTCATATTACTAAAACTTATTATGAGCAATAGTAATGGTGATGCTTGCTTTGGCAAACACCACTATTATCTGTTTGGATGGTTAATACCAATTCATGGCATGTTTAATAATGCATTAAAAGCACTTTTAATTTGGCAAAACGAGTTCATCTGGGGTACAGCTTCTGGGATTTTAATTTGTTAATGTTGACCCTGTTTTATCTGCCTGGTTTACCTTGGATTGATCTGATAATAGATTCTCTTTTACAGCAATGAATCTTTTAGACCTAAATCTGGTTTCCAGAAGTATCTGTGAAAAATTCACTGTTTAATGAAATATCGAAGCATCATTTTAATTTTGTATTAAGGTAACACTGCTGTTCACTTTGTGCAGAGCGACCGTAAAGTTATGATAGACGTCATTTGCATTCTTTAGCAAACCTTCTTTCTTGTGACCTGATTTAAAGTATGCAGCGCCTTTGCTGTAGTTTAGCCATATTTTCATGTCTCCATACTACACTTCCTGTGCGCTCTGCATGAGCTTTGGTCCTCACGGTGGTGGAAATGTCAACCTTTGTCAAAGCTGGCTCGAGCTTTAGGGCTTTGCTTTCATAGCTTTTTCTTGAACCTTTCTGTCTGTTCGTCTTCATACCTGGATCAGACTGATCTCTGGGTGAGCGTTGCAGGTTTTGGAGGGCTTTGATAGGGTCAGGTGGCTCTCTGCAGCTGTGTGCTCCATTCCCTGCAGTCCTAACAGTCATTTAGGTAAAAGCTCATGAGGTTCTCAAGTCACCATCCACTGACAAGGCAATTTATCTTATTTAGGGGACGTCTAGCACTCAACCAACAGGCGCTTCATGTCTTGTTCATGCTCACACACACTTGCACTTCCACCAAGAAGTGGCATAGGACAGGACATTTTTTGAGCAACCTTCAAGTTTTAACCAAGTCTGCTTGACCTTCTTTACTTTTATTTCCAGTGTTACTTTTCACACTTAATAATAATAATAATA